ATACTGTAAAATGCCTATTTTGCTTGAGAGGCACAACTAATAAACAGTGGTTCGATTGGGGGTACTTACCTTTTAGCTACCTTTATGCTTTTTTTTCCCCCCCATTAATGAAATCTGTGCAAAGTTATCTTCTCACTGTTATTTCACTGAGCACAGGTATGCTGGTATTTAGTGATAAAGCAGACTTACTCTTGGAGGAGGACTCCTCTGGCACTGTCAACATGTCGAGCAACAATCTGCTGAAACTCAGAAAGCTCTATGGACTCGTTTCTGCGGTGGAACTCCTCTACATCTATCAGCCGGAGATTTCTGTAACCAGATAGCCATCAATTACACCATCAATTATTACATAACAGCTTCCAAATACCAGTAAAAACAGTCTATTTTCAGCATACTGGACTTTGACTTGCAATGGCTTCTTAAATATTATTATATATGAAATATGATGGATGGCCCAACAATATTGTTTTAACCAGAATCATTAACTTATGACAAGTGGAATAAAGGTGCAACAAAGAGTGCATGTGACTAAATTAAATATTCATTTGTAATTTAAAAGTTTCTAAATTAGAAAATATTTCATTTTAACCAAATTAATTTGAAGCTATCATGTTTCCAACCATACTCACTTGAAGGAGAAATGCCAAAGGTAGAGTATTTTCAGCACAGTGGGGTTGACAGAGTAAAGCTTTTCACCGATCCTCTTGCGTGCATGGACAAAAGACTTGTTCCATGGTTTTGGCACCTTTTCCACTCTGACAGTAAACAATAAAGGGCCAGTAAGGAAAAAAAATATTTTCCACGAGCCTTTATACAATTAGAACATTTTGTTTAGTCTTGTAGTTACTGCTTAAGAATATTAGCAGAGGTTTTTAATGCAATAAATAACCTGCAGACTTACTCTAGTCTGTGAGGGGGCAGATCTTTTTCTTTCTCTTTGTCACTTTCCTTTGATTCTCTGAATGTATATTTCACTGCAATTATATGCACACACACACACAAACCCCACACTGAAAACACTTTCTTCTTATTATTACTAAACTCTTCAGGTTTTGTGTTAATCCAACATATTAACCCAATAAAAAAAGACTATAAATTAGTTTTGGATTTCATAAACAATTCTCAGAATGATTTGCGGATTAAAAGTATATGTATATATTAAGTATATATGAATAAATACAGATTGCTGTCTTGATGCTGTGCAAATAGTCTTCCTTGATCTCATCAACCAGCAGTTCCAGTGATGCGCTGTGGCACCTCAGGTTTGGGGAGACCCTTTTCATAATGCTCTCCACCCAAGATTCCTCCAGAGGTGACACATGGTCCAGGTCTATACCATTCTCAATGTAGTAGTTATATCTCTGACAGGACAAAAGAAAGCCAAAAAATAGTTGATAAAATTATCCATCTATATCCAGTGAATCACTCTGCACCTATATGCAACTCAAAGATGTGATTCAACATGTGAATATCCCATTTTTACTGGGCATACACATTTTTCTTTGTGCATGCTTTCTGAATGGCCTGCAATATATTCTTAGTATTTTACTTGTTTTCATTTATTTAAGGTGCACCACTATGGAAGTTCAAATTAATGTGTTTTTACTTCTTGCATTTACTATACTACCAAATCAAAATGCATGTTTAAGTAAAGGAAATCATTCACAGTAAATAAAAAAAAATCCTGCAGTTACCAACTGCAAGCACTTAACCGAGAAAACATGATTAATATATTGTATAAAGATTTTCAAAAAGAACTGCTCAAAACCACAACCGAGATGATATCGAAGTAAACAAGAAAAATTGAAGAAAAAAGTCGTCTTTACAAATTCCCTGTAGGATTTGGTTTACCATTATGTTTCCAGTAAACTTGTTACATAAATGATCTCTAAACCTGAATCCTTTATCTGTGCATTAAAATCTAAGCATGGGTGTCAGTGTAGGGGAAGCTGGGACTACATCACCATATTGCAAACATTTGGATGGGGATTTTTGTTTCTGTTACAGAATTGTTACACTTCAGGTCCAACATCTTGTTAATGAGGATATACACAATAAAAAAAAGTGACCGAACATGAAGCACACAGTTCAATTTTACCATTTCACAGTCTCTACTTGCTGGTGTTTTGCCATCCTCCTCCTCCTCCTCCTCCTCCTCCTGCCGGCTAAGTCAGAAAATGCAAATAAGAGTAAAAACAGATGCCACTTTATCCTATTAAACAGTATTTCCATATATTAAACACATTAAAGCCGCAATACTTTAATTTCAGTTATGCTTTGCAGTAAAAAATTGCCTTTGAAAAAGTTTTCTGATTATACATTATAGTAAGAACATAAAATGTATATTCAACATTAATGCAAAAACCATCCATAAATGTGTGGTGAAGTGGTTAGTCACATCCCTTCCATGCTGCCAAAGCATACAGCACATGTCAAACTCAAAGCCCGGTGTCAGCATGCAGAGCATTTTTTTCATGCTGGACAACCAAACCAGTAATATGTTTTTTTTCAGGCCCACAAAGAAGCAACTTTAATTACTTTACATACTGGTAGAAGCTTAGCATAATTTAGATATCATATTTCAATTAGAAATAAAGCATCTAAGGTTTTAAAATAATGCAGTGGAGTAAAAGCTGTGCTTTCACTTGCAGGCTACCCTCACTGCTGCTAGAAAGAGACAGACTGGCTGCTCTCAGCCTTCTGCAAAAGTTAAAAGAAATCTGACATAAAGATCTGTCCATTTAGCAGTTTATTTAATGTTTATTTTAGCTGCTTTTTAGTTTGAATTAGTGTATTACTGTGAAAGAAATCACCATTTACTGGGAGGAGATAAACATGCTTTACTTTATATTTTAAACAGATTGATATCTGTACTATAACAGACAAATAAGTACTTATAAAGGACCAGAAATAAACAGTGAGCTCACCATATAAATTTAACCAGGTTTTTTCTGAGATTCAGGTTTTTTCGATTGATGCTTTTGCGGATTCTGCTGCGACGCTTGGAGGTCCAACGGGTCTGCATCCACATTCTGTCCTCAAACTGACTCTGAGGTCTGCCATGGCTTTGAAAGGCCCTGCTGCCTGCCTCATCATTTAACTCATCTCCTACAGCACAGAAACAGTTCAGGAAGGTAAACTGTAAAGCTACAAAAAAACAAAACAAAAACAAAACTGCTGGCATAAAACCATCCAAAAAAAGAGGCAACAACTCAAAACCTAGAGGAATGAACCCACGTTTTAAAGCTGTTTCAGTCCCATCAGGTTTCTGTGTGATTAGAGGAAACAGCGAAAATGAAGGTCTTGCTTCCATCCAGGGCTGCTTTCTGAGGACCTGGGCAGTGGAGAGAGGTTATTGGAGTTATCAAAAACTAAACTAAATTAGAAATTGAGATAATTGCTGAGTTAACAGAAATACAAGACTTCAGAAAAATAAAAACAAACTCTAAAAAAATTAAATACACAGCCATATGAAATAAAGTCTCCTCGGGACTCAAAGCAGTCCCTTTAAAAAAAAAAGCACACCCCAGAAGCACATTTAACAGCAATAATGTGAAGTAACAGTAAGGGTTTTCTGTATGGCTTTCAGTCTCTCACATCATTGTGGAGGAATTATGGTCCACTCAACTTTTCACAGTTGGTTCTGCTTAGCAAGGTCTGAGACCAGTCATTTATGCACACCTCTTTTTAAAGATCCAACAAAAGCACTTCAGTGGGTTGAGGTTTGAATTTTGAGTGGGCCATTGCAGAGCCTGGATTCTTCTTTTTTTTCAG